AGGAATCTGCACCTCCCAGACCTCACCTGGGAACTCATCCCTGCTCTCTGAGGAATCTGCACCTCCCAGACCTCACCTGGGAACTCATCCCTGCTCCCACCACCAAGCACGGGGCACCTGCCCCTCCCAGCCCTCACCTTCAGGTCGAAGTGGGCGATGTGCTTGGAGTGCAGGTAGTGCACCCCGTCCAGGATCTGCTTGAGGAACTGGGTGGCCTCCTCCTCCGTCAGGGACTCCTTCTCCGCCAGGAAGTCGAAGAGCTCCCCGCCCGACACCAGCTCCAGGATGAGCACCACGTCGGTCTTGTTCTCGAAGATGTCGTGCAGGGTGATGATGTTGGGGTGCTGGATCTCCCTCAGGATGTCCACCTCCCTCTCGATCTCCTCCCGGCTCACGCCCCGGCGGCTGGACGACAGCCGGCGCTTCTTGATGAACTTGGCCGCGTATTCCAGGCCCGTTTTCCTCTCCCGGCACTTCCGGACGATGGCGAATTGGCCGCTGCGGGATGAGGGAAGGAGGTGAGGTGAGAATCTCCCTCATCACATCCTTGGAAACAGCAGGAGGACACACTGTTTCCTCCCAGGACCGCCAGGAATTGGGATCGGATGGTGCCCATCTGCTCCCAAGGCTTTACACACCCCGGCACTGCTGGAGCAAGCCCGGCGCTTCCTGGGATGGAGGAAAGGAATTCCTCCCAGGAATGTGGCAGCTGCAGGCCATCCCTGGGCTGTTCAGGTGCTGCTGTGACCACCCAGGCTGGGAGATGCCCAACAGCCCCTCTTTTCCAGCCAGGAAACTCCAGGTTGGTCCCCGGAGCCAATCCCAGAGCCCGGTGGTCCTGGGGGACCGTAAAGCTCTGAAGGGAAAGGCAGGTGGAGGGGGAAATGTCTTAAACCAGAGCAACTGCACCTGGACCCAAGATTCCTTTATACTTTTATACATTCCTGGATCACAGCTGGGGCCACCCACAGCCCCTCCCAGGGCAGGGACCGGCTTTGCCCAGGTAGGATCCACAGCACAGCCCTGAGAGGGAAGAGAACCCGGAGGAACCCCTGGAAGCTGCTTTGCTTTGAGACAAAACCCACCCAAGTGACCCAAAACAGTTTTTGCTGCCCAAGGATTTTTCCCAGTGGCCGAGGAGGAGCCACGGCCGAGGCTGGGCTGGAGGATCCCGAGGCAGCTCCCCCAGCTCCGCCTCTGCATCCCGGATGATTAAATCCCATCTGCAGGCAGTGAGTCAGCCTGGATCCCTCCCCGGGCACAGAGCCAGGAGCAGCCACCGAGGCCCGGAAGCTGCCGGCTCCGGCCCTGCAGCCCCGGCTGGAGCTCCAAAAGGAGCAACTTTAATGTTAATTAACACCTTTTTTTAATCTCTCCTTGCCAGAGGTGCCCGGCTCCCGGCACAGCCGCTGGCAGGGGGGGCACAGGGGCACCACGAGGGGTCCAGCAGCCGGTGAAGCTCCCGGCTGGAGGTGCAGCCCCCCCAGAGCGTGGGGGGGACGTCCCTCACCTGCCCAGCTCTTCCCCCATCTCATAGAAGTCCTCCACGCTCTCCTGGCGGAAGGTGGACATGGCTGCGGAGCCGTTTGGAGCGGGAGCCGCCGCGGTGCCGTGAGGAGAACGGGAAGTCCGGGGGGAAGTCAGGGAACAGCCAGGAAGCAGCCGGGGATCAGCATCTGCGGCACCAGGAAAAAGGGGGGTTGTGTCCCGGGAGCTCAGACCAACACCCAGCACAGGGATCCTGTCCCTGCCAACCCCCAGGACACCGGGAAGGAGCCCCCAGGCCACACGGCCCCAGCTGATCCAGGGATTAACCCCAAGGGTGCCCCACATCCCATCCCATCCCATCCCAAAGCCTGCAGGGACCCCCTGACCCCCGCGGGGATGCCCTGGGGGGACACAGAAGGAAAAGGGGCAGTGGCTGTGTGGGCTCCATTGCCGTGGGCCTTGCTTGATCCCAAAGCAGCCAGAAAAACCCAGTTGTGGTGGAGAGACCCCCCAACTCAGCCAGCAGCACCCTCCTGCCCCCAGCCCCACTGTCCCTCCCTGCCCCACACCCACAGCCTCCCCAATCGATCTTTCACTGCTCCTCCCTGCCCCACAATCCCCAGTTCCACGGCAACCCCCTGAATCCCCCTGAGCCCCCCCTCCTAATCCCCCACAGCCCCTCCCTGTCCCACAAGCCCCAAATTCAGAGCCCCCACCCAGTCCCACCCCCAGTCCCCCACAGCCCCTCCCTGTCCCATAAGCCCCAAACTCAGAGTCCCCCACCCTCAATCCCCTCCCTGCCCCAAAGGCCCCACACCCAGAGACCCCTAAATCCCAATCCCTCTCTGCCTCATAATCCCACAGCAATCCCCAATTCCCCACAGCCTCTCCCACATCCACAGACCCACACCCACCACTCCGATCCTTCCCCACCCCTTTCCTGGCCAACAGCCCCCCCCATTTCTATCCCGACCCCTCCTTTTCCAGCCCCACAGCCCACTCAATCCCTCCCCATCCCTTTCCTACCCCACAGCCAACCCCCCCCCAGATCCAAATCTCTACCCCTCCTTTTCCAGCCTCACACAAAACCCCCAATCCCAATCCCTCCTCTTCCAGCCCCACAGCCCCCCCATCCCAGTTCCTCCCCCTCCTTTTCCTGCCTCACAGCCCCTCCCTATCCCACAGGCCCCACACCCACAGCCCCCCCCCAATCCCTCCCCATCCCTTTCCCGCCCCACAGCCCCTCACAGCCCCACACCCACAGCCCCCCCCCAATCCCTCCCCATCCCTTTCCCGCCCCACAGCCCCTCACAGCCCCACACCCACAGCCC